CTGGACAGGTCTCCAGTCCATGTCAGGGACACCTGGACAGGTCTCCAGTCCATGTCAGGGCCAGTTACCAAGACTTTCAAAAATAAAAGTCCTCCCAACCCAAAACAACAAGAACATCCAGCAACATGTCGTTACTCGATATCAAGCACAAACTTTGTTAATTGATTAGCACAAGAGAAACATGGATGTTCAGTTAGTGGTGAAAACTTTGTTATTCGTTAGCGTGAGGAAAAGATGTTGAGCGACTTTAAACATACTTTGTTAACAACTCGACGCCTGAAGAAAAGTTCAGAGATTTATTTTGGCAGAATAAATTGTGTCTCCTCCCAGACTGCTGCACCAGTGTGCACAAAGACCAGTTGAATAGTTCTAACTGGACCCAGCAGAACAGTTTCTGTCAGAACCTCCATCCACCAGATACAGTTAAAAATATATATTTAAGAAAAAAGAAAAATAAATTTAAAATAAATAAATAAATAAAGTTCTGAGCTGCGACCCGTCAGTGATCAGGTTTCAGAACCACGAAGAAGAACCAGAGCTGGATTTGGCTCAAACACGATTCATCATGAAAAGTCTCAGTTTTATAATTTAATTATTTTTTATCTCAAGGTTATTTCATTATGTTCATTTTTTACACAACGGAGTGAAAAATGTTTCCTAAAGATTCAGTTTATTTTCTGCTGCACTTCAAACTGAGCTCAAAATGTTTAATTATAACCAACAACACAAAGATTCACATTATAGATTATTGATAATTTATTATATAATTGATAAACTATAGAATCCAACACAATCAGGAAAATTATTCCAAATTATTTAAACAGAACGTTTCATAAATTTGACTGTTTCATTGAAACTTTTAGCTTAATGTTTTAGTTTAATGTTTTAGTTTAATGTTTTAGTTTAATGTTTTAGTTTAATGTTTTAGTTTAATATTTTAGTTTAATATTTTAGTTTAATGTTTGAATGTTTTTTTTCTGCAAATTAAAAAAAAATAAGTTTTTTTTTTCTTTCGGTTCCTGAAACATTAAACAATAAAAATAAAAAGAGGATTTTCTCGATTTATTATATGAAATATAAATTATTGGTTTAATTAATTTAATTTAAAGTTTATGTTTGTTTTTGAAATAAATAAAATAAATAAAAAAGACACACTACCCGGTCCGGTTCGGCCCGGCCCGGCCCGGCCCGGTCCGGGACACTTGCGGCTCGTTTTACAGTTTTTATTCTACAAAGATCAGCTGCTAATAAAGTTTTCATGCTTTTTGTTTATTGATCATATTTGGTGAAAACGAGTTTTGGTCCAACAGAACCGGAGGATCGATTCTAAAGTAAAAAATGAGTTTAAAACTTTTAACAACGTGAAATAAAATGATCCCAAAAAATTAAAACATTAAATCTGAAGATCAAAATAACATTTTTTTTTGTTTTGTTTGAACAAAATCTTTTATTTTAATAATAATATAATTCATATGAAACCCGCACTGGGCCGAGCCGAACGGTTCCGGTCCATTAACGGGAGGTGCATCCCGTTAACTGACAGATTACATTTCTATATTTTTATATATTTTTGTTTTAAAGCTGCTGATAAAAGTTTGACAGATTTATTCAAACTAATTCAGGTTCTGCTCCTCATCAGAACTCGAGGTTCGGCTCTTACTCGGGTTTCCGGGCGGAGCCGAGGTTCGGATCCAGTCGTACGGGTTCCTCCTCCGCGGGGATCCGGGGGACAGCTGTCCGGCGGACGGGTTGAGGGAGGCGGGCAGCTGTCCGGGGAACTCCGGGGGGCTGAAGCTCAGGGTGGGCCCCACAGGGCCGCTGTGGCCGGGGGCCGCGGGGGGGCCTCCGACCGCCGCGGCGTAGTGATGGGAGGCCCAGTCGTCCCGGGCGGGCGCGGGGGGCGGCGGGTAGGCCGGGCTCCAGCCGGCCCCCGGCCCGGCCTGCTGCGGGTCTGTCCCCAGGCCCAGGTGGTGGGGGTGGTACCCGGGGAAGTCCGAGTACTGCGGCGGTCCTGGCACGGAGAAGTTCTGCGGGCTGAGGCTGAGGCCCGGGTGGCGGGTGACCGTGTTCTGGTGCGGGTACATGGCGGGCTCCTTGTCCAGCTGCAGGTAACTGACGTACATCTTTCCAGGTGAGGGTTCGACTCCCTCAGAACTGCGCGGATCCAGCCTGCCTGCTGCCGCTCACCTGCTCTGCAGGTAAACTCTGACAGGTACCTGCGCGCGCATCCACCTGCTTTGCCTGTGTGCGCGCGAGATAAAAACCCCACCGCGGTCACATGACCACTTTTATGGCTTTGTTCTCCTCCTCCTGACAGGAGAGGAACCTGCAGGAGAAGGAGGTCCAGGTGGAGACCGGATCCCACACACACACACACGCGCGCGCGCGCGCGCGCGCACACACGCCTTCAAACTGCATCATTTACTTCAAAGTCTTCATCAATGGACCGCCGTCATCGTCAGGTCTACCTGCTGGGTCTGTTCGGACCACGAGGAGCCTCCCACTGGCTGAGAGGCGGGGGACACCTGGACAGGTCTCTGGTCCATCAGAGGGACACCTGGACAGGTCTCTGGTCCATCAGAGGGACACCTGGACAGGTCTCCGGTCCATCAGAGGGA